TAACCAAACTGCCGCCCCCCCCCCCCCAGCTACCAAAAGCACTGCAGATCTTTCAGCTCATTCATGACTCCAGCAAGTTTGTGTTCTATCAGGACCCTATCTCTTTGGGTCACATGGGGTGGCAGCAGGCAAAGCGGCATAATGTTTGCTGTGTGCCTGCCACCACCTTTCCGGCCAGAGTGTCCCAGGTTGCTAAGAGCCGAGCGGGAAGATGTGTAAGGACCATACACAAGTCTCTGACCAGCTCTTAGCAACCTGGAACGATCCTGCTTGTGTCCCCATGAGCTCCCGGCAACCAGTGACATCATTGGTTGGCAGGAGCTCGGCAGGACCCCAGCCACTGCTTGCAGAACCGTAGAGGAGTGACATGCAGCAGCCTCTCACCACGGCAAATTCCAACAAGCAAACTTTGATACTTCAAGGTACACTTAGAGCTTACCGCTAACCCAACACATTCCTATTCGTCCCTCATTACAATAGGCAGCCAATAAGAATGTGCCGCAGGCTGGGATGGGGAAAGCAAGCTTGGCTCATAACAGATTTCTATAAAGCGCATCCAAACCCCAGAACAAAAATGTAATCTATTGAAGCTTTTCCATCCTTACATGTGGTGGCCGCATTCATTCTTTTCTTGTCACCGGGTAACACATTTCCTGTGCTAGGGTGACAACACTCGCTGTACTGCATCTATGGAGGAGCAGTGTTGTCCCCCTAAGACAGGACAATCAACCAGATGAGGCAAGGTGTGTCAGGGGTCTGTATCCACTAAGAGAAGGACAGTCTGGTGGATTTTAGGGGCATAAGTGATGGTAGTGATACAGCAGAGGGTACAGGCGGTGGAATGTGGATGGCCAGACAACTGCGAAGCATGCCAGAGACTGGGTGGAGATAGAGGTGTCACAGGAGTCATAGGGGGGCATAGTGGTGCACTGGGATCACAGGATTGCACAGAATGCTCTGGGGTACACTGGGGTCATGGGGGGGCACAGTGGCACACTGGGGTCACAAGATTACATAGGATGCTCTGGGGTCACTGGGTGTATAGTGGCGCACTGGGGTCACAAGATTACACAGCATGCTCTGGGGTACACTGGGGTCATGGGGGGGGCATAGTGGCGCAGTGGGGTTACAAGATTACATAGGATGCTCTGGGGTCACGGGGTGTATAGTGGCACACTGGGGTCACAAGATTACATAGGATGCTCTGGGGTCACTGGGTGTATAGTGGCGCACTGGGGTCACAAGATTACACAGCATGCTCTGGGGTACACTGGGGTCATGGGGGGGCATAGTGGCGCAGTGGGGTTACAAGATTACATAGGATGCTCTGGGGTCACGGGGTGTATAGTGGGGCGCTGGGGTTATAAGGTTACATAGGATGCTCTGGGGTCGTGGGGTGCATAGCTACTTAATGGGCTCACAAGATTACACAGGATGCTCTGGGGTCACGGGGTGTATAGTGGGGCACTGGGGTTATAAGATTACATAGGATGCGCTGCGGTCACGGGGTGTATAGTGGCACAGTGGGGTCACAAGATTACACAGCATGCTCTGGGGTACACTGGGGTCATGGGGGGGGTATAGTGGCGCAGTGGGGTCACAAGATTACACAGAATGCTCTGGGGTCACGGGGTGCATAGTGGGGCACTGGGGTTATAAGGTTACATAGGATGCTCTGGGGTCACGGGGTGCATAGCTACACAATGGGCTCACAAGATTACACAGGATGCTCTGGGGTCACGGGGTGTATAGTGGCACACTGGGGTCACAAGATTACACAGCATGCTCTGGGGTTACGGGGTGCATAGTGGGGCACTGGGGTTATGGGTTGTATAGTTACGCACTGGGGTAATAAGGTTACACAGGATGCTCTGGGGTTATGGGGTGCATAGTGGGGCACTGGGTTAATAAGGTTACACAGGATGCTTTGGGGGTCACGGGGTGCATAGTGGGGCATTGGGGTACTAAGTTTACACAGGATGCTCTGGGGTACATTTTGTGTCATAGGGGTGCACAGAAGCGCACTAGGAGTCAGAGGGACTGCAGACATTGACAGGCGAGGAGGCATAGTGGAACACACTGAGGGCTGGAAGCAAGAATGGAGGACTCTGTGGTACAGTGGGATGGAAGATACTGAATCTGCAGGCACAGAGGACACTGAGGCATGAGGATGCAGGTGGGACTCTGGTAGTGCGGAGGATTGCCTTAAGCGCAGCGAGGCATTGAGTCACATGACGATTCCCGATTTAAAGCCGTGCCAATCAGGAGAGCAGTCTTCTGATTTACCAGGACACCGGGGCTACGAATGAGAATTGGAAGCTATGGTGGGTGGGTGTCGGAGAGTAGACCCAGCACTAGATCCCAAAAGATGTGAAGCAAGAGTGTGACAAGGTGTTCTATAGTACACAGAGAGAACTGGGAACAATGTAACTGATAACAGTCAGCACAGGCTGAGTGCAGAGGAAGCTATGAACTTACAGGTTTTCTTGCAGGATCAAAAAGGTCTATTTTTTGCATTTATTGAACAGATAAAAACACTTTCATTGGTATATTCAGCAGACCAAAAGGGATGAAAATAAGAGAGGTTCAGTGTCAGGGTTAAAGAAGAACTATGGGGTAAGTGTTTTTCCCCATAGTTCTCCTAAGGGTCACGGGAGGACATAAACTAGCGTCCTCCCGTGACCCATAGCTCAGCATATAGGGAGCTACAGCTCGCGGTATACTGAGACCGCCGCAGCCGGGACGGATCCCGACATTACTGTCGAGATCCACCCAGCTGCGTGAATGACAGCTGGCTCTGCCTATCTAGAGGCAGAGCCAGCTGTACCCGCCCCCTCCCCCATCTGTTCCACCAGTCAGCGCTGGAGGATCGGACAGGGGAGGGGGGAATCCCTGCAGGGAGCCGTGAATGACAGTCACGGCTCTCTGCAGGGATAGATCGAGAAGTGAGCAAGCGCCGGTATGTGTTCGCTCACTTCCCAATCAATTGAGCCGACGTGGAACAGTTTCACAGGTTGGCTCGAACGAAGAATGAAAATCACTCACCTCATAGTTCTCCTTTGCAGATAGATTTTGGTGGGTGTGTATTTAAGCATAAAAATAGATTATAGAGAGTAACATTTCACAGTCCAGTTTATAATTGATAGCAGTGTTGAGTGAATTCCACTTTAACATACATAAAGAGCAGAAATGATAACAAAAATGTGTCTCCCCCAAGGCAGTGCCACGTGTTGGTACTTGTGTAGTTTGCACTGTAAGTACACAGGTTCTAGCCATCTGTGGACTTGGTAAATGTAGAGCCGGGGCTCTGTACCCCCCACCAGTGTCTGGACACAGATGACATCTTCAGATTCAGCTCTGAAGATGGCAGTGGTGGGGTGTTGGGTGTGCAGGTTTTGGATATGTCAGACATTTGATGGTGTATGGCTAGTCCTGGGGGCGAATGTGGGAGATGGGCTGCAATTCCCCCAGCTCTGAGCCCTCTCCTGTCTAATAGGAAACTTCCCGAGTGATCATTATCAATGTAAAAGTGGACACTGACCTGCCACACGGGGTCGGTGTGTTTGCCGAACTTGGCCGAGCTCATGTACTTCGGCTGCGGGCTGCTGGATTTCAGGTTGAAGATGGCCACGTTCCCATCATAGAAGCCCACGGCCACCAGGTACGGGTTTTCTTTATGGACGTCCAAGCACATGACTCCGCTTTCCGTACTGAAGATGTATTCGGGGAAGGAGGGATTCTTCAAGCTGTAGAGAAGGAGCATCCCCCGGCTCTGCTTCATGAAGTCATCTGCGGAAGGGGAGAGAGAGAGCACGGGTGTTATCACACACAACATAAGACCTCGTCTCCACGTGTGGCACACAGGACGGATGTCATGGGTCTACTCTGCCCCTGAAATGCCCAATTATGTTATATTGACAGTACATGTGACAGTATACAGGGAAGCGGCAGTGGTGCGCTGCATCTAAGAAAGCCGCCATACAGCGTTCAAAGACAGCAACGCAAAAAAAACTTTAGGCTTCCAGTGATGATGCTTTAGGGCTCAGTCACACTAGATGCAGTGCGTTCCGACCCGATTTTGGCCGGAACGCACTGCCTCGCATTGCGGCTGGCTCACTTTTTAGTGGGGTAGGAGGGGGCTTGGAGGGCCATTCAAGTGAATGGCGCCGCAAGGCACATTGTGCCTGCGGTCCGAACCTGTGCGGTGCGATCAAAATGCTACAATTTTGATCGCATCGCACCGGACCGCAGGCACAATGTGTGATTCACTTGAATGCTCCGCCACGCCCCCTCCTACCCCACTAAAAAGTGAGCCGGCCGCAATGCGAGGCAGTGCGTTCCAGCCAAAATTGGGCCCGAACGCACTGCATCTAGTGTGACTGAGCCCTTAAGCGACTCTGTCATGATACATAGCCGACTTTATTTACCCTCAAATCCCAACATCTGAAGGCTGCTCTCTTCAGTGGACAACAATTAGGCCAATGCCAATAGCTCGTGGTCACCCTTTACGCCGCCTGTTCTTAATAAGACAGTGAGGTCACGGGATCACAGGTTTTAGTAAAGCAGAGCTCCAAACTTGTAACTCATTCCTTACCACACCTTGCCGCGTCTGATCCTGCCCACCACTGCCATATCCTGCCCACTGCCGAATAATCTGATGTGATTCTGGACACTATAGGTGGCGCAAATAACCACGCCCCCAAAAGCGAGTGTTATGGAGGTAAGCAAGATTTGGGGCATGATATTACCTTCACATGGCCAACGCTGAGAAGTTGCATATGGTATATAAAATGGAGACATTGAGCCTTTAGTTTTACCTTCCACCCGAAACAAATATTGAAGGCTTTGGCAGAGGCAGAATCTGGGCCCTAAACCAGCTGCTCTGGGTGGACAGTTAAGCCAGGGGCATAAGGGAATGATTTGCATAGCTCTGCCTACTATCCTAAAAAGAGGAAGCAACCCAGAGGCATAACTAGAAACCTCAAGCCCCCAGTGCAAGAAACCATGAAGGTCCCCCTCCCATCAAAAAAAAAATGATTAGAGGGCAAGCAGAGGCAAGTATCCTCCTGCCCCCTCTCAGGGTATATGGAGTGAGCCGACGGTTAGTGGGTAGAACGTGGTGGTATGAGTATCAACAACCACAGGAGGGAGCTGCAGAGCCTGCTGCATGCTGGGAGCTATAGTCCTC